GCTGTGCGTGCTGCTGCCACCAGGTCATTTGCTCACTCAGCTTGTGGCCAAGCAGCCCCTGCGCTTGTGCCAGCAAAACGCCCGGGGTTGTGCTCGCTGCTGCACCCAGAACCCGGACGCACGCGTGGCATGGGAGCGGTGCCATCTCGCTCCCGCTGCCCACTGTAAATCCAAGGATTTTGGCTCAATGCTGTGCAGCTTTTAGCACTGCATGGGGCACTTGGGCACGAGGGAGCGCTTGGGAGCATGGAGCTCGCTCACCTGCAGGCTTGTGTTTACTAGGCTTTATATTCTTTCATGAGCTGGCTTTATAGTTTTTCATGAACCAGCAATTTTTTCATTTCGGTCTTGCAAAGAACTGCCCAGAGGCCCTGCAAGCCCCACGTGTGCTGGGCTGTGATTTGGGTTTGGTTCCAAGGCTGTGAAATGCGATTCTCTCTGCTGGTTGCAGGCGGAGAGGGGCAGCTCTGCCAGGCAGGGATGGGGATGATGGGGATGAGCTCCCTGATGGGGATGAGCTCCCCGTGCCCAGCGATCCCACGGCTTTGCTGGCTTTGTGGAATGTGGTGGATCCCGCTCCGTAAGGATGCAGGTGACTTGTGCCCGTGCCTGTCTCGACGCGTGGACTGGAGGTCCTGGCAGCCCCGTGGAGGCCGGTGCTGCTAGGATGCTCCGTGGAGGTTCAGCCATCCATCAAAGCAGGATTCGGAGCAAACGCCCCGCTTGATCCTGGGATGAAACCTGCTTTTAGCCACCTCAAGGAGGGCTCTGGCCCAGGGAGAGGAGCTGAGAGCACGACGACACGATGCTCTGCCCTGTCCCTGCTTTCCCTGCCGAAGCCGAGGTCGGCCGTGTCGGCCTGTCACCCTGGCCCTGCTCCAGGGACATCTGCTCGAGCAGCAGCTCGGGCTCTGCTTGGTGGCTTGTCCTGGTCAAGGAGGTTTGCACGGGGAAGTCATCTGGGCAATGCGGAGCGGCCCTGGCCTGCAGCCTCCCCGGGCTCCCCCGCGTGAGGGGTGAAGCTCGTCCCTAAATCTGTGCCTGGCTCTTCTGGCCTGGCCTGTGTGCCAGAGGGAAGCAGGACAGGGAGATCTG